TTCTTGATCACGTGCCTTCAGATAATCTGACTGTATTGTTATTACATCTTAAGCTTTTCTTGATGACGTGCCTTCAGATAATCTGACTATTGTTATTACATCGTAAGCTTTTCTTGATCACGTGCCTTCAGATAATCTGACTGTATTGTTATTACATCGTAAGCTTTTCTTGATCACGTGCCTTCAGATAATCTGACTGTATTGTTATTACATCGTAAGCCTTTCTTGATGACGTGCCTTCAGATAATCTGACTGTATTGTTATTACATCGTAAGCTTTTCTTGATCATCTGCTTTCAGATAATCTGACTGTATTGTTTTTTCTATATGCACTTAAAGATAATAAATTAATTTTGAGCTCTCATGCTTGTTTATTTCGTTGATTATTTCACTTTCAAAAACTGTTGAATTGTAATGGATTTTGCCCAATACGAGCTTAGAGTTTGAAAAGCAGGAATATGTGGAACATGTGTACAGAACTTGAGTATGGACTACAGGGAACTTCTTTCTAACAGAAGATTTGCTGAAAAATCTATTGTAACAGTTAATAATAAATAATCTTAATTATGAGTAACAGGCAAACTACAAAAATGCTTCTATGACTACTTGTCATTAACTAAGTGCCCTTGCTGTGTGCTATGTTTTTGACCCTTAGGTACAGCATGCTTCTATAACCATTCTGCCTTAGGTCATTGGCTAAGTCCTCTTGCTGTTGGCAGTGTTTTTGACCCTTAGATACAATATTATAAATGCAATATGTTTATTTTAGTTTCAATAGTATATTAGAAATTTTGGAGTTTTTTTTTAAAGGAAGCAGGCTGGTGCATGATGCCATTAGACCCGTGGTTGTGTTATTGCTCAAATAAATGTGTATGAAAGCTGGCTTTAAATCGGTGTTGACAAGTCAGTTTGCGTAAAGATGTGGTACAGATGTGCTATGTAGTTACTTTCATTTCATCATAAATTGTTAGTATACCAAAAATAATCTCTCTCATTTAGAATGGATATTATTCTTTTAGTTTTGATGTCTCTTTCAGATAAGGTGACATTTATGAGTACAGTGCCACCTAGGGTTGCAGTCTGAAAGCTTTATGTATTAGAATGCTCATCCCGTGTGAAATGATTTTGCAGGTGACCTCGATAGTGTACCCGTTCTTCTAAGAGTGAGTGAAGGAGGATGCCTATATGAAATTGAATGGCAGACAGCAGCTGCCTGTCCTCTGGCTACCAAGAAGGGTAGAGATTGTAAAGTATTTGATAATGATTTAGGTGAGTTTTGTGTTGGACAGAAACAAAACTCACCTAAATCATTATCAAATACTGACAGAAACAAAACTCACCTAAATCATTATCAAATACGGACAGAAACAACACAAAACTCACCTAAATCATTATCAAATACTGACAGAAACAACACAAAACTCACCTCAATCATTATCAAATACTGACAGAAACAAAACTCACCTAAATCATTATCAAATACAGACAGAAAAGTATTTGATAATGATTCAGGTGAGTTTTGTGTTGTTTCTGTCCGTATTTGATAATAATTTAGGTGAGTTTTGTGTTGTTTCTGTCAGTATTTGATAATGATTTAGGTGAGTTTTGTTTCTGTCCGTATTTGATGATGATTTAGGTGAGTTTTGTTCCTGTAAGTATTTGATAATGATTTAGGTGAGTTTTGTTTTGTTTCTGTCTGATCATTTTGTACAGTTTCAATCCCATGTTTGTCATGTGATTTTCTTTCAAGCTGCAGTATATTATTTCATAGCTTAAGTGTTTCATTTTTCATGTAAGAGCATGCCGTGGAATTGGTGCCTTTCCCAAGAACGTAGAGCATTTTAATTAATTGTTCATACTTCGGATCAATAGGTTTTAGCCACAGACAAAATCCAAATTTTTCTTTCTTTAGTTCTCAAGTTTTATTTTTCTAACAGGGTAGTTGGCTTGTGGAATAATTTGCTGTGAGATGTAGTGGAAGCAGTAAATTTTAAATGTAAGGGAGATTAAGGGAAGGCTTTAAACTCATGTATGTAATTGTTGTTAAAACAAAAATTGGCATTAAATCAATTAACACGTTTACTATGTCGTGGCAGAATTTCTATCGTTAGCCTCACAGTGGCTCATAAAGGAAGGCTTTAAACTCATGTATGTAATTGTTGTTAAAACAAAACTTGGCATTAAATCAATTAACACGTTTACTATGTCGTAGCTTGACAGTGGCTCAGCGGTAAGGCTAATAATGCTAAAAATGGGGGTTTGATACCTGTGGTGGGTACACGGCACAAATAGCCCATTGTGTAGCTTTGCGGTTAACAATTGACAAATTTATCAGTATTATGATTGTTTGTACCAATTTTAGGGTAAAACATAATTATCAAAACTGTAATATTTATTCTAGATGTTGAATACATATTCAGAGATTTTCCTAGTTTATCAAGTTTTTTGTGTTTTTTTTCAGGCCTGACCTTTGACTTAAATCCATTACGTAAGGTTGATCACTATAAAATCTCGACTGATTCGTACATCTATTATATCAATGTGTGCGGACCACTGAAAGGTACACCATGTGACGAAACTGTTGGAAAATCCCAGAATGCAGCAGCTTGTCAGGTTTCCATCCCTGAAAGGTACTGAATTTGATACTTTGTTTTGTACTAAGTGTTTGTAAACACGCACACACGCGTATTGTAAATATCTACAAAAGATTAGCCTTTGTTTGTGTTGTATTTTAAATAAAATAATCTTTGCTATTTTAGCACAAGTTCAACATCTTGGAAGCTAGGAGAACCAAACACAGAAGTGGCCTACAAAGATGGCATGATTAACATTACTTACATCGGTGGTCAGCCTTACAATAACGAAGAAAACACTCCTCGTACCACATCCATTGCATTTCTTTGTGATCCTCAAGCAGATGAAGGCCATCCACAGTTTGTGGAGGAAGCACACCACACGTATTCCTTCCGTTGGTACACGAGCTACGTTTGTCCAATGATACGGCCTGTAGAGTGTGTAGTAGAAGACCCAATAACTCGTAAATTGTACGATTTATCCAGGTGAGCAGCCACAGGCTTTCTGCTCTCTCTCTCTCTAACTCTCTAAGTTGTGAAACATTCACTACCGCTGAGGCCAATATGTTGTGTCGTATTGAGTAATTTCATATTTTTACCTGTTATGACTCGTTATAAAGACTGACTTATAAAGGAATGGGACAAAATTAGTGACAGTAATTAGTTAGAACTGTTTATATCTTGGATGAATTTATGTAAAATTTTTCACATGTATTGAGTGGACAAAGTCGATGTCCCGAGACTGTTTTGTGATACGTTTGTAATCTTTGGTTTTTAGGTTCTAGTGAATAGATTTTCAACATACTGTATGAAGTAACCTAAAGGGTATGTTTAGTGTGTGTGTGAAATAGAGAAAGGTATTCAGTACACAAGTTTTGTTAAAAGTTGATGTCCCGAGACTGTTTTGTGATACGTTTGTAATCTTTGGTTTTTAGGTTCTAGTGAATAGATTTTCAACATACTGTATGAAGTAACCTAAAGGGTATATTTAGTGTGTGTGTGTGAAATAGAGAAAGGTATTCAGTACACAAGTTTTGTTAAAAGTTGATCTATGTATCTATGAACAATGCTTTATTAAGACTTACACAAGTCATGGTCACATGGCTTTGTTTTATATCAAGTACAGAAAGAAGTTTGACTGGCTATAATCACATTGTATTGTTTGTTATATATACACTAAAATATGTCCCTAATGGTCAATCACCTGGCCCTAAATGGTCAATCATATGGGCTGAATTTGATGTAAAGTCCTTTCAGTTACATGTTCCAATAATTTATTTCACATACTTGTAGGAACACTTTAAAAATAGCTACATGAACTCTCTCTCTCTTGTTCATTTTTTTTATTTCATTTTGACAGTTATTAGTATGTGCACAAAATATGAACCAGAGTTGGAAAGTCATGGAAATTTGAAACCTCTGATATTAACAATTAATGTAGCACTTCGATTTACTGAAATTGAATGTTAAGTGTAATATATCTTTTTGCACAATGAATGTTTTTTGGTGTGTGTGTGTGTGTGTGTGCGTGCATGCGTGTTTTCTTCTTTTTTTATTAATTTGTGAAACCAGTTAGTTTTGACTGACCAAAGAGTGTTAAGCATATATTGATATGATTGACCAAAGAGTGTTAAGCATCTAATGCTTAACACTCTTTGGTCAATCATTTCATTGTTATTTGTAAATAGCTAACTACAACTTCAATAACATAAGCATCAATCTCTACTTGGACTGTACACGTTCCGTTAGTCTATCATGATACGACAATATTCAAATAGATATCCAGTAAAACGTATTAGAAAAAGTAGTTCTACACTTTTAGTCATTTCATTATTAGATGCTTGACACTCTTTGGTCAATCATTTCATTATTAGATATATTTACCTAGAAACTGTGTTTGTTCACCAAGCAGTCTCGGTAGAGATGGCCACAACTAGCTGTGAGTACACTGCAGTCATGACCTCAGTTGTTTTAGACTTCCTTCACACACACACACACGCACACACACACACACACACACACACACACACACACACATACATACACACATATATATATATAATTGGAAGTTATAGCTTGAATTCCAAGTTTGAGTTTTGTAAAATATTGTCTTTGGTCTCGGTGCTACCAGTAGGGATACTGCTGCTGAAATTGATAATTAGCAGTACGAGTACTTTGGCAGTATAAGAGGGATTTGTGCTGACAAAGAGTTTTTGGGTCGTTACAGGTTAACCAGAGTTCAAGGTGACTCTAACTGGGAAGTCACTGAAAGCAACAATAATGAAACTTTGAAGTTCTACTTAAACGTTTGTCAGCAACTAGTTCCAACTTCCAGCCTGTGCAGTCCGCAAGCAGCAGGATGCGTAACACAGTTGAGTCCTGAAGGAAACAAAACGGTAGGTGTGGGGACATGCCTCTTGGTAGAAATATGTAATAATTTACACTTGAGCTTGTGTTCTGGCAACACACAGATTGCGGTCAGGTAACAAGACAAAATTGAAGGTAGGTAAGCTGACATTTAGGTGGTTCATGGTCGGGTAACAGACAAACTGAAGGTAGGTAAGCTGACATTTAGGTAGTTTATGGTCAGGTAACAGGCAAACTGAAGGTAGGTAAGCTGACATTTAGGTAGTTCATGGTCAGGTAACAGACAAACTGAAGGTAGGTAAGCTGACATTTAGGTAGTTCATGGTCAGGTAATGAGACAAACTGAAGGTAGGTAAGCTGACATTTAGGTAGTTCATGGTCAGGTAATGAGACAAACTGAAGGTTGGTAAGCTGACATTTAGGTAGTTCATGGTCAGGTAACAGACAAACTGAAGGTAGGTAAGCTGACATTTAGGTGGTTCATGGTCAGGTAACCAAACAAACTGAAGGTAGGTAAGCTGACATTTAGGTAGTTCATGGTCATGTAACGAGACAAACTGAAGGTAGGTAAGGTGATATCCAGGTAAGCTTGTGATAAGAAAATATTGTACTTGAAGTTGAAGGTACAGTTACTCTTTGTAAATTGTCCGGGAAGTTGGTCATTTTTGTTTTTTTATTGGTATGTTTAGGAGAAAGTGTTAATTCGAGATTTGGGCAAACCCCTCTCTTCTCCTACGTGGCAAAGTTCCGGCCGGCTGCAGCTGACGTACACTTCTGGTGCAGCGTGCATTGCTTACAGTGAAAACGTTAACTATTCCACTAAGATCCACTTCCTCTGCCCCAAACATTCTATGGTGAGTACTAAGAAGAATTATTATTCATTGTGAATCCATGTTTTCTACCTTGTTTAAAATTTATAATATAATTATATATCCCCAATGCATTTAGGTGCTGTCACCAGAGACATTATCCGTTATGACAATAAGTTGACAACCAGGACCGATAACTGTATTGAGAAATTTAATTCACTACGATTTTATAGTGCTGATTTAATTGCCTATAAACAATTAATATAATCAATAGTTTGTAAACTAGTTATATATGTATATGTATACAGTATATATAAGCATAGTTGTATCATGTCAAGTGTGGGTGAGGAACTGGTCAAACCACTTCAAAGTTTATATGACAAAAATCAAATGAGTGGTTTGGGTTTGGCTGCCATTTCCAGTCTATCACTTTAATGGTGCAAGTGAGGGCTCAAACGAGTGAGTAGGTTGGTAGCGAATACGAGAAGTTGGAATCAGAGGAAAGTGACATTTAATGCTGGGCCTAGCACGGGTACCCTTGAATGAATGGATCGTGTGTTATGGCTCAAGCTCAAACGAAACAAGTTCAGTTTTATTTACTGATATAAATATAAGATTCTTAGTGAAAACACTTTTTATTTCTTTACAGGAAGAGAAGTTGACGTTTTTGGGAAAGGTCGGAAACTGTGAGTACTCATTTCTATGGATAACTAAAGCAGCGTGTCCTGTAGAGGAACAAGTGATCCAAGATAAGTGTCAGATTGTGGATCCAATTTCAGGATTTTCCTATGATCTCAATCCTTTAAAGAAAGATGGGCAGTACGTAGTTACTGCTGGATCGAGTACTTTTTACGTAAGTAACGTAAAGAAGTTGGAGAGATGTTTCTATAATATCACACTGAAAACCAACCCTAAATTATCAGTTTCATAAATTTTAACAAATAAAAACTAATCAAGAGGTTGAAGTATGTTTCGGAGATTCCGTACTAGTTTCCAAGTATAAATTTAAAGTATTCTTCGTGCATTGTCTGGTTAAAAAGCTTTCATACTGATAATTAGCTTATCATAGATCATCGTTAGTAACTGCTGTGTTAATAACATTTTACATGTTTTTATGTATCTGAATATATTCAATACTGAGGTAATTAATAGTTGTGTTGCTATACTCTTAATGTTTATCTGGAACAGATTAGCAAATAAATGTAATAAATATTTAACCCTTTCGAAGACTTAGCACGTACAGTTGCCACCAGATGATTGGTAAAGTTGTTTTGTTTTTTTTATAAGACAGTGGCAGCTGTACTGCCATCCTGCACATAGGATGTTTAAATAAAAAAAAAAGTATAAAATAATGCCAATCATTTTTTTTTCCTGATTGAATTCACCCACAAACACGTAGCTTAATTTTTTTTACTTTTCTGTCCGTGAAAGGGTTAATGCTCTAAACAAAAATTACAGAAAGTATTTATACATCGTCAAAATAATATAAAATAAAAGCCTATTAAATAACAGATGAAATATAAGGAAATGTTTGATAACTATCTGGACATTATAAATATTTTGCATGTGAAATTTGAAAATTTTTTGATGCATAAAAGTATTTTTAGTCTTAAGATTAAAATTACTGTGCATGTTGGATAGGCAACACGCAAAAAGAAAAAATGGCACGAGAAAAACATTGCTTTACAAACCTTAAGACTTAATTAAAAAAGTTTATATTTTTCGTATGAAAGCCTTGTAATGTTTACTGATAATCTGCCAAATTTCGTTAACATGCGCTTGCTAATTTAAAAGTTATAGCATGAAAACTATAACGAGCACAAAATGGTTGTGAGGGTGGTCCCAGGGACTGGGCCCATGCTGAAAAGAGTTATTTTACATAGACTGTGATGAGATTAGGGTTGACATTTACACCTGGATCTGGTAGTGGTAGTATCAGAACATGTTCTCCAGACTTATTCCAGGGCTGTGTTGTTCATTTGAATATCCATAAGCTCAAGTTATTTAAAACAATAACTGGTGATTGGTTGTATTTGTATCTAGTTAGTTTTATTTCTTTATTTTCTATAGTTAAACATATGTGGAACGGTATCTGAAGAAGCTTGCCAGACACCGGAGTTTCGGGGTAAAATATCAGTGTGTAAGAAATCTGACAATAACAACGTAACCACTCTAGGCCTCTTGAAGCACTTTACTCTACATTTCTCAGAAGAAAACCTTTTGACAGTCACCTTTAAAGGCCCATATCAAAAAGAGACAGGTAAATAAATACAGAAGCAAAGGCATTAAAATAAAATATTGGAATCGCTTCAAACGTATTCATTCTCAGAAATTGGGTTGTTGGTTGCTGTGTCAATCAATTTGTGTATAATGCCAGTACATATTTTGAAATTTAAATGGATTTGTTCAAACATGATACATCAAAAAGATCTGTGAAGTTTGTACAAGCCACAATGTTGGAAGCTTTGCACAGAAGTCTGCTTTAATGTTTAGTGTTCCAGTTAATTCATTGTCAAAATTATCAAACAAGAACCCCGATTTAGAACTATGTTTTTGGTGTTTTTTAGACAAAACATATGTACATGCTTTAGATGTTTTTGTGAAACTTGAAAGTTTGTAGAATTTAATGTTGTCCATGTAATTTTCCACTATCTTCCTTTATACAAAACTGTCACCCATTGTAGACATGAGTTTACATCTGAAATTTTTTGTTAATTTTATGCAAACAAAGCTCTAATTTTGAGTTATATGCAAAATTTTTTATTGAAATCTTATTAAGAGAACAAGATGTCTTTCCTTTTAAAATTAGGACGAGAGACGACGGTTGTGATAACTTTCCATTGTCGTCCCAATCAAACTGAAAGTATTCCTCGGTTTGTTCGTCAAGAAGATTCTCACACCTACATATTTGATTTTGACACTCCATTGGTGTGTGAAACGGTAGTTTCTGACTGCACTTTCACCGACAGTCACGGCAACCATTACGATTTGTCTCCGCTGGAAAAGTTAGACGGCACCAACTGGGAAGTGATGGACGGACGCGAAGAATACAAACACCTTCGGTACCACATCAACTTCTGTCGGCAAATCAACAAAGTTCCAACGTACTCGTGTCCAGGTGAATAAAAGGGTCGTAAATGTGACCGGTTGACACCTTAGTCTAGCAAGGTTCAAAGCTTATTGGTTTGAAGACAATAATTTTTTATTATTACCTTCTTATTATGGCTGTAGAGTCATTACCCTCATAGTTCAGTGGCTTTACCGAACAGTAATAATTTTATTTAGCAATAAGTAGTGTAATAGGTGTAAGAGTTGTAATAGTAAGGGTTTAAACTATATTTTTAAAGGTGGGCCAGTTGGTGCCTGTATGACAGATGTTCAGAAGCCACAGTCAGATGGTATTAGCCTTGGAGTAATGAAGATGCCACCAGAGGTTAAAAATGATCAGATAATTCTCCATTATCCCAGTGGATCTCCTTGCCAAAATGGAACTACCCAATGGAGTACAGTAATCTTTCTCCATTGTGCGACGGATAAGGTGTGTTTTTTTAAATAGTTAATGAAAATATTTGCACTTGTGATTTATTTGATACTTTAATGCAATTTTTATTTACTTTAACTGTTCGTAACGATTCCTTGAGAGCACGATGGAGTTATTTTGTTTTTTTTTTGTCATGGCATTAAATATACTTTTTCGAACTATCTAACCTTGTATGGTAAAGTAACG